TGACAGCCTTGGAGACCCTGTGGGCAGTTCCGCTCTGTCCTCTAGGGGCGCTGTGGGTCGGAATGGACTTGATGGTGACGGGTTGATACTGAGCAGATTCCAATGGAGCTTGCAGACTGACACAGAGCAGGAAGAAAGGCCCGGGAATCCAGTCCCAAGAAGTGGCCACTGACAGCCTGTGGGTCCCAGGGGTCTGGCCCACACAGTCCTGGGTGTGCCGCAGGGCCGGAGGCGGTCAGTCCCATGGCGTATGGGTCACCACGAGTCAGGGCCAGCTTGGCAGCACAACAGCATCCTCTCAGGACGACCTCCCCCTCAGTGCTCAGAAGACAGACCCGGTGCAGTCGAGCAGATTCCAGTTCGTGGTGGGTTACAGGGTAAACTGCTCCACGGGGTCTTCTTGGCTGTCCGCTTCATGGAGGCAGGTAGGTCTCCAGGACTTATTTTTGGGGGCTGCTGGGTGGGTTTGCACTAAAAACCTTTTAGGTTATTAGTCAAGCGCAAAGTGCACCATTCAGGGACCCTTAACACTAGGCTTTTTAAAATATAGCTGTCTACTCCTTTCATAAGGAGGTTTGGTGGTGCCGTGGTTAAGGCATGGGGCTGTTAACCTAAAGGTCAGCGGTTCAAACCCGCCAGTTGCTCTTTGGGAGGAAGGCAAGGCATTCTGCTTCTGTAGAGACTGAGAGCCTTGGAAACCCTGCGGGGGTCACTATGAGTCGGAATCGACTTGATGGCACTGGGTTTTTGGTTTGCTCCTTTGACGTGGCACTGAATCTTCTGGCAAAGTGAAGGGCAGTGACGACCAGCAGCCAGTGCTCCTCTGCGGCCAGCTGTTGCCGGCAAGGCTGTCTTGGTGCCGGGAAGCGAATGGGCATCTCAGCTGCATGATCCCCCCAGCACCCTGGGGTGCTGAGTTAAAGCCAGTGACCACCCAGGGGTGCGCGCTGGGGGCCCCTACTGGGCCTGGCTTTGTCCAGATACACTGAGGCCGCCCCGGGCATTAGCGCAGAGGGAGTCAGCCGCCTCACACAGTCCAATCAGCTTCAGCGCTCATCTGCAGCCACAGAGACTGTCTGGACTAACAGCCTTCGACTAGCTGGCAGGTCCCGGGGAGAGCAACTTGTCGGGAACAAGCAATCAATCGGAAGCCTCGGCAGTGTGTCTTGGGGTGGGAGCCCTGTGTGCGTTAATGCCCGCTTTGCTGATTCGGAAAGCAGCGGGCAGATCCCGAGCAGGCGCGAGACATGGCACAGGTGCTTTAACCGGCAGGCCCGGGAAGACTGGGCACAACTGTGATGAAGGGCGAGGCTGGAATCCCCTGGACCACTGGGAGCTGAGCTGACTTCAGCCCTCAAATCCCGGGGACAGGGGCTCACTGCCTCAAACCTCGTCCACGGGCTTGGCCGTCGGTCCCAGTGCTCCCTGGCCTTTGCTTTCTAACGGAAATTCTCCAGGTAGGGCC